CAATAGGTAGTCTTTCTACAAGAGCAATTCATATGCCCTCATTAAAGTTTAATAAATTTTAGTGTATAGTACAGAGAAGAGGTAAAAAGGGTATACCATGGGTGCCAGTAGACCATCAGGGAATATTGCAATATCTTTTTGCAAGATGCAATGGACATGCTAAGGTTGCAACAGCGAATTTGGAGAAAGGTGGTAAGACTCAAGATAAATATATTTGAGGGTAGAATAGGTAAACATAGAAGATGATCTTATGATTCTATTTTAAACTTAGTGAATAACAGGACCCCATTCATCAAGAAGGGAAAGTCCGGGGGTGGGGGGAGTGTGAAGCAACATGTATAAAAAGCAAATTAAAAGTTCTGATTTGAGTTGACTGTGAGACAATACAGTTCAAAATTTCTCAGCTCATACCCTCTTTTTATTTATGTCTCAGCTCAAATGCTACCTCCTCAGAAAGTCTTCTGAAAATTCTATCTAAATTAACTCTGGCAGCCAGTAGTACTATCACTTTAACTACTTAAAAGTCTATGACATTTCCTGATATCATGTTATAAACTTTATTGTCATTTTCCTCCAGTAGAGTTTAAACTCTGTGTGGTCAACTACATTGTCTGTTTTTTAAAAAATATATAAAATACCTAGCACAGGTATAGGTAGTATACTTATACTAGTATAAGTAATTATATGGTAGGTAATTAAAAATATGTGAGTGAATAAATGAATGAATGGATGGATAAATGTGTAACAATTAAGGGTAATTGGATAGCACAATCTCACTTTCAGGTATAGAGAGATATCTTCTTTTACACAAAGGTAGAAAAATAGCCAACAACTCTGTAACCAGAACTACACCAACAGAACAGTTATTGCCTGTGTCTGGAAGGGACTTAGATCAAGTGAGTAAGCAAAGGCGAGGAATGTTGTTACTGTACTTACAAATTAAATTCACATAAGAAGAAATGATGATTTAGTCCTAACTATAATGGCATCATTATTTTTATAATTTGGGTTTTAGTTAAATTTCTGTAATTTACTTTAGTTTAAAGTAATGTTTATGAGTTGGTCTAAGATTCTAATGAGCCAAACAATCTTGTAGAAACCAAAATTCTGGGTTTCTATTGGATGGACTTTATAACTGGAAAGGGACCCCTTGTTTCTCTAAGAGTCCTAAAATGGAAAAACAAAATGTGATACAAATACAATACCAATATTTTACCTAGTGAACAAGAAAACAGTAATTTGTACAGATAATTTGGGCCAAAATTCTGGCATTTGAAGGTAAGAATGCTTATTTATTAGTGGTAACAAAATTAAAACAGGCAAGCTTTCTGATGTTTTTTAGGGATCATGTAACTGAAAGAGCTGATCCAACAGTATTATACTATACACTTGAACATGAAGGTCCAGCAAATAAAAATTTTAACAGAATTTTGTAAATTCTGTACCTGAGATGGACTATGAAAGAAATCGTTAGTGGAAAAAGAGGAGACCACACTTGGGTCTTCTTGACCAACTTTGCAGAAGAGGTAATGTAATCCGAGTCTTGAAAGATCAATAGGAATCCACTGAAATGGGGAAAAAAAGGAAACAGTGTAGAGCTTGTGAATATTCATGGAGTCATAAAAACCTTACACACTCAGAAAGTCTTCAAATATTTGTCAGCGTAGATGTGTTTGAGGGATGGCTTGATGTGAGTCTAAAAAGATAGGAAAGCACTGCTTCGAAGGGTCCAGCATGCTCTGTTAAATACAATGGATTTACACTTGATGGAATATGGTGTCATTCAAGGTTTCAAAATAACCTGGCAGGATTTAAAAATTCTTCTTAAATATTGCCACTGAAGCAGTCTTAATGGCAGAAGAATTAAATTAATCATACCTTAGGGATCTAGTAGGGGAATCCCAGAGTATTGACCGGTTTTATGGGGGAATCTGAGGTTCAACTTTAAAAAATAAATTCATGCAAATAGTAAATATTCCAATCTATTCCATAAACAGTATATTTGAAGATTTTTACAAATTATAACACTTAAACTCCCCTGTAAAAATTGTTCTGAAGAAGAGTTGAAAGCCGCAGAAAAAAAGGCCTCAGTTTATCACCTGGCACTCCAATATGTAACCACTGGGGGAAACAAAGACCAGTTTAAAAAACAGGACCACAGTATCAAATTGTATCAATTTTGTATCAGTACTGCATTATTACATGTGAAGATTTTTTATTCCCAAAATATGGCTTCTAGAGTGCGGTCTATAGATCTGATGGTATTTTGTAAAATAATATGCTTTGGTATTTTCATTAACTCATAAAATATGCCATATGATTGTAAAAACAAAAAACAAACAAACAAACAAAAATAGGACCACACATTTAACTTGACAAACAAAAAGAGGTATGCTTAGGATGTTGGTAAAAAAGCTATACATAAATATATGTAGGCAACTGAAACCAACATAAAACAAAACAGAAATAACAAAGACAAAAATATTTTTGCTACCAAATTAACACAGGAACTATTGTGTGTGAAAAAGCTACCTGATTTGAATATTGTATCTATATATCCATATGCCATATGTAGAAAATTCCATTTTAGAGATGCTTTCTTTAAAGTCTCTAATTTGGGGCGCCTGAGTGGCTCAGTGGGTTAAAGCCTCTGCCTTCGGATCAGGTCATGATGAAATCTTAAAAAAATAAATAAATAAAGTATTTGATTTACTTAAAGCTATATTTTTTAATTGATGTATGAAATAGTCTTTCTCTCTACTGATTCTGTATTATATTACAAAATTTCTTTGGAATTTTTACTTGCCATGTTTACATTTCAAGTACTTCTAAATTCTTAATTTTGAGGAGCATGCAGTCATAGCTAATGGCTATGCCTCCATTTTTACTGCAAATACTAAAGTAAGGGGTGTCTAACAAAAGCCCTATTATACTTATTTTTGCAATTACATTTCTCTTTCCTGAGAGACAGAAAATGCATTGAAAAATAGTAATAAATACACAGCCTCATTTTTGCCATACTCTTCTTCTATACCATGAGGAGTTTTTAGATTCTCCATAATATTTAATTCAAATTTATATACTATCTGATATTTGAGGTTCTATCTAGGTCTGAAGTCTTGCGATGTTAAGATATATCTATATTATATTTAATGTGTTAAACTACCTTTGATTTAATGGCTGAGAAAGAAATCCCAAGCAGTGTAAATGAATATCACCAAGTATAAATTGATGTCTTCCCCATCATCAACATTTTCTTTTGATTAGGGTAATGTCATGATCTTCATCTTCTAATCACCAAACACTGTACTCTCCACATACCCCATACTGCTATCTACAGATTCTTGCATGATATGTTTGCAGATTCCCTGCAAAGTTGCTCCAGACCAACCCTTACATACTCCAGAATAGTCCTCTCATCCCATCTGATTCACAGAAAATATACTTCTCACCTTCTTATTTCTCAGTTTAGTTTTTTGGGACAAGTTCCCTCCTTTGTATCATATCCCTTTTTGCAGAATTTCATGGAGGTATGCTTGTGTGTCTTCATGCACATATACATGTGGTAACAGTGAAAGGGGTGGAGGTTGCATCGGCGGGGGGGTTGTCAGGTGCAGCCTCACTTTGCCTCAAAAGCAACATCAAGATCAAAAAGCCAACCCACCATCTGACTTTTCCAAATTTGAATCACTCATGGTAATTTCCATTTCAGGAACCTCTTTTCTCTCCAGGAGTCCAGGATCATTCACAGACAACCTCGGGGAATCAGGTGCCTAAGAGAAGTTCAGATCTAGCAGGGTGTATTAGTTATATAAACAAACAATTGTATCTGAGATCATGAACATTATGTCAAAAGTATTTGTTGAAGGAAAAAAAAGATAAAAAGATTCATTTGTTAAGAAAACAAGTAAAGGAGAAACAAATTTTGCCCAGAAGAATTAAGATTTATTTTTAAAGCATCATTTGACATTTTATAAAATGAAACAATAAAGGGAAAGAAATGAGTGCGGTGGGAGGGATAAGGTGGCTGGGTGGTGGATGTTGGGAAGGGTATATGCTATGGTGAGTGCTGTGAATTGTGTAAGACTGATGAATCACAGACCTGTGCCCCTGAAACATATAAGAAGTTATATGTTAATAAAAAATTAAAAAATAAATCAGAGATTCTCAAAAAAAAAAAAAAGGAAAGAAAGGAATACTAAACAGAAGAGCAAAGACACAAACAGGGAAGTGTGTAAGTTTAGAGAAATGGTTCTCAAACTGATCCACAGCCATCAACATCACATAGTAATTTAGAAAGGCAAATTCTCAGGCCAGTCCAGATTTCTTGATTGAAAAACTCCAGGAACAAGGATTAGTAATTTATGAATTAATGTGATCCCCAGATGATTTTGAATCATGGGGAAATTTGAGAACTACAGAGTAAGTCTAAAAACCAGGGATTTTTAGGGTTTTAGAAGGCAATTAGAAGATATTTGATGTCTTAAGCATAAGACTGACATATTTGTAACAGTTTCAAACTCATAACCTTGATGACATCATGGATATTTAATCAGGCTGGTGAAGAAACAAGAGCACCCATTGGAGAATGAATAAAGCATGAACAAGAACAAAGGCAGAAATGATAAAGGGTACCAGATAGACAAAAGAGAAACTAGAGATGTAGAATTTCCCAGAAAATGTGTAGTCTTTCAACAGGATTTTCTGGACACAGCTTTAAACTAAAAAAACAAATACAGGAAGTTACAAGAACCTGAGCATGTCTGATGGAGGAATAAGTTTGCTTGAAAAAGTTTTGTGCTACCCTACAAAGCAAAACTGACATCTTCCACTAATAGCAATGTGCAATGTGTAATATGGAGAAAACAAATCAGAATCTCTGTCTTGTGCTCTGACATTTTCCAATCTGGACTGGTGATATATGGAGCTTCCTTTCCGTGATGTCACATCTTGTTTTCTGTCCATGCAATTCTATATGCAGTATCATTGTTTTCTTTTAGTGGGAACCAATGTTTATGCATCTATTTGACCAAGAAAGATAAAGTACTCAAACATGTTCTCCAATGCAGTAATGTAAGTGCCAATTATTAAATTGAGGTAGGTGAGAAGAAAAATATAACTAAGTTATTCTACTATCTAATAAACTATTGTGTTACTGAAATGTCTTTTTAAAAAACTATGACTTGTTTGGTCATCATTTAACTCTAAAAAGACAAAAAGTTTTGTTTTACCCTCATTTCAATTTTCTCATGCAGTGTGAATCATTGACAAAACGTTTTCGTGCCATCCAAATAAATTCATTGTCAGTATTTGGACCATATAATCCAAGGATGTACTTGCATTTCATCAGTGTAACTATTTTTGTCACAAAAAGATTGAGATTTCGTTTATTTTTTCCTACCCACTTCACAAACATTTGCTCACATTAGAAACTTCAGGAAAATTCTTTAAAAGTCATTGCCTTAGCTACAAGTTACATCCTTTTCCCTTTTCCCTTCTGTTTCTAGCTGAAATGTGGACAAGACAACTGGAGCTTCAGAAGCCATATGGTAAATGAGACTACATTGAAGATAAAAATCATAATGATGAAAAGTAAAGATAGAAATGAAGTGGGCCCTAATTATTATGATGCTTCCTCACCAGAACTGGATTGTCTAAGCAGCCCTCTTCTTACAAGAGCAAAAAATCTTAATTTAGTCACAGTTATTGGGGTTTTCAATTACGGGCAGGAATGCTATCTGAGGATACATTCAAATTAGCCTTAAGACAGTCTAGTGTATTTTTTTCTACTCTTTCTTCTTCCTTTTTTTTTTTTTTCTTTTTTAAGATTTTTTAAAATTTATTTTGGAGAAAGAGAATGAGCAAGCATGAGTATAGAGGGGGCAGAGGGAGCGAGAGGGAGAATCATAAGCAGACTCCCTACTGAGAGAGCCCAGTGGGTGGGTCTGGATCCCACCAGTGAGATCATGACCTGAGTCAAAATCAAGAGTCTGCAGCTTAACCAACTGAGCCACTCAGGCGCCCCTCCACTCTTCTTTTTTTTTTTAAATCATACTCAGGTATTCTCGTATCTAAGTACTCTATAGTGTCTTTCTTTATCATTAAACATTATATCATAGATATCTTTCTATGTCATATTATTCCACATCACTGTTTATAGTTTCACATATTCATTGTAGTTTATTAAACAACTCATCCATTGCAGAATATTTCTTCCTTTTTGTCACTATTGTTAACAACAGCACCTGAATATACCAGATTTTCAAATTCTAGTCAGCACTGTGTACTATGAAAAAATAACAGTAACTAATTGATTTAAATCAATTCAATCCAATGAAGGTAATGAAGGTGAATGTCAGGTAACTTTTTCTATACAGAAATGCAATATCTTGAGTGGGTCCTCTAAAATTTGGCCAAACATAACTGGGACAGTAAAAGTAGTAAGCACAAACAACTGATGACCATGACTGTGTGATATGAAGGCTCAATCATGATTTTGATGGTACAAAAGCTCATTTTTGCACTTGTAGGATTCCACCAAATACTACCAAAAAAAAAATATTTAGGTGAGACTGTTCAGACTCAAATTTATTATCTTGTGTTATTGCTTACCATATTATGTATGTTTTGAAGCTAAAATAGCTTACTTTGCACAGGATATATTAAATCTTTTGTTTGTTTTGATAGTTTAAATGTAATGGATAAATCACTTTGCCAATCGTTCTTGGTTTCAGATTTTTTCATCACCACACTGGCTGCCTCATACACATAATGTGATGCTGCAAAATGAGGAAACTGACAAGCGAGTAGAACAGACATAATTGCTTGAAATTTAACTTCAGAAAGCAGAAAAAGTTCCCCAAACTTCAAAAATGTCAACTTCTTTTGGTACATCATTTGTTGTTATACTTACTTTGTTTTGTTTGAAAAAAGTAATGTGTTTTATTTGTACCAGAATCATTTTTTCTGCCACTGCAGTGTGCACATCCAGACAAATGCAAACACCTTTCAGTAAGGCTATTCTAACCACAATGGATCTTTCTCTGATAACACCATACTACTAATAACTGTGGTCATCAGATACCATTGCTTTATGTTATTTATTTTATGTTAGTTTATTATATGGATCCCTTTTATTATTATTTAGCCTTTGTGTTGTTACTTAACATTTTGTTAAATTTTTTATATTGAAGTGTGTTGTATTTATATTTCAAGCATTCAGGGAAAGTCTTGAGGACCAGAGGGTTGTATCTGATGAAGAACTTAGGGCTTAGAGTGGATATAATTTCTCTAATGTTTGCTAAGATCTGAATACTATCCCTAATTCTTAATGCTTTGCTCTCTCTCTTCAATGTGTTTAAAAATTTTAAAATAATTTTTAATGTTGAATTATGTGCCTCCATCTGACTGTAAATTCCATAAAGTTACAGATTTTGTTTTCTACATATTAATTATCATAACCCAGTAATTAGCATAGTACTTAATACAAAGCAGGCAATAAGTATATATTTTTTCAAATAAATGTATAAATGATGGGAAAATAAGGGGCAAGACTATAAGGAACTAATTCAAGAGATAAGAAAACAAATGTCAGAGTACAGATGACATAAAGTTTGTCTTTATGTCTATCTTAGTAGAATGTGATAAAAAAATTTCCCAAAGCTGGAAACTTAGAAATACTGTTTTTGTATTACTGGACTTCTAATTTACCCCTAAGTTGAGTGTTCATAGGAACACAATAAAATATCTTCTTTTTCTTCCAACCAAAGCATACATTTACTAAATAGGGTCCTGTTTGATTTTATATTTCAATGCAGAGCCATATGGAGATACAGATTCAGAAAAGTTTTGCAGTAAATGTTTCTTTAATAAATAGATGAATTTGGGGGTACCTCAGTGACACATTAGGCATCTGACTTAGTTTCAGGTCAGCTCATGGGGTTGTGAAATTGAGCCCCATGTCAGGCTCCACACTCAGCTCCAAGTCTGTTTGACACTCTCTCTCCCTTTCCTTCTGTCCCTTCCCCTGTGTGCACACTTGCTCTTTCTCTCTCTAAAATAAATGTCTTTAAAAAAAAATAAGTAGATTGGGATGGCTGGGTGGCTCTGTCAGTTAAGTGGCTGCCTTCGGCTAAGGTCATGATCCCACAGTGCTGCGATCCAGTCCCACATCCGGTTCCTTGCTCAGCAGGGAACCTACTTCTCCCTCTCCCTCTACCTGCAGCACCCTCTGTTTCTGCACATGCATGCGTGCTTTCTCTCTCTATCTCTAGCAAATGAATAAATAAAATCTTAAAATAAAGTAAAATAAAATAATGAAAAAATTAAAAAAATAAGTAGATGCATTTTCTTTCTGATTGAAGTAGTAAACTGCTGCAATCTTCATTATAAAAGTACTACTGTTTGCCCTATTTATATATATAGTTTCTACTGCTTCTGATGGAGTTTTACCTTTAAATTTATTTGATAAATCAAACACATTTTGGTATTTACATATTTTCATTGGATCCATACTAGTGTTGTCTTAGGCACCTTATTGTTTTTATAAACAAAGTTGCCAATACTGGAGTGAATGGCACATCCTGAAGAAGCATTTGCAAACAAGATGGGATTGGGAGGGAGACAAACCATAAGTGACTCTTAATCTCACAAAACAAACTGAGGGTTGCTGGGGGGAGGGGGGATAGGAAAAGAGGGGTGAGGTTATGGACATTGGGGAGGGTATGTGCTATGGTGAGTGCTGTGAAGTGTGTAAACCTGGCGATTCACAGACCTGTACCCCTGGGGATAAAAATATATTATATGTTTATAAAAAATAAAAAATTTAAAAAAATTGTTTAATAATGAATGACAAAATATCTTTTCATGGGGATTATATTATCGTGATCATGCTGTCACCAGCAACACAATATTAGTTCTGATAACCTAATCAATCTGTGCTGTGAAAGTTAATATACTTAAGTGTTACAAAAAAATATCCTCTTTGTGCCTTCTTTTCCTGTATTTATAAAGCACAAATCTGAAAACATAAAAGAAACTATTTATGCCAAATTGATATCTGGAAACTTCTAATGGTTTCCAACATTGCCTTTCAAAGTTGACTTGGTAGTCCTTTTTAGTCACAAGTACTAAGTTGTATTATACTATTCATACACTGCCGTTTAGGTATTCTTTGGCCCTATAATATATAGCAAATTTTGCAAAACTCTGAGTTTCTCTTCAATAACTAGCTGGATGGTCTTGTGGAAACTGAATTTGTGATCTTGGTGTAATGAGCACAAGATTGTAATCCAAAGAGCCAAAGAGTCTAAATCATCACTTTACATTCTTACATGGATTTCTCTAATGCATTTACTCTAGATAGGGCTTGAGAACTGGTCACATTGAACTTCCTATGGAAATAATTGGCTGTTAAGAAAGGAAACACTGACTGATGTGTTCCTTACATTTTTAAGATGCTATTTGTAAATCTTTCTTGGAGTTTGACAAGTCCTCAAATAATAAAAATAAATCAGTTTATCATGGAGTCTCTATGTATTGACATATTAATGGTGTAAAATACACTAACAGAAATAAAAGTTATTATTCATAGTCTCATGATTTAGTTTTACCATACGAACCAAAATAATAATGGTGATGAAAAGCATACAGGTCTCACTACTAGAGAAACAATGAAAAATGAAACTGACATAAAATCACTCTACTCTTAAGATCTATAGCAGCAGTTTAAGGCAGTATTATGAGTGAGTATGGTACTTTAGATATTAAAGTATTGTAAAACATCTTCATGATAGTGTAGGCAAACATAAAGAGGGGAAATGAAACAACAATAAGACAATGATAAAACAAGAAAAGTTATTTTCTCCACAGTCACTTATTTTTTTTTCCCACACATGATAAAATCAAAGCATACATCTATCGAATTTTATAGAACCAGATTTTGAGTAACATAATTGTCCAAACATCTGAAAAGTGAAGTAGGAGTTTAGAACTTCAGGGAAAATTTGGGTTGAGGAGCTAAATAATTCTAATGGGACAAAAATTTGAGTTATAAAATTTCACTTGAAGTTTACCCTATTTTAGAAACAAATCAAGCACTAAAAAGTCTTCTTATAGTAATAAAGTGAAGAGACTTAGACATTTCTCAGATATGTCATAGGAATGCCATCCATAATGTGTGAACTAAGCTCAGAGGCAAGCTCCATTTAAACTGACTTCAGTGATATCAAAGTCAGTGTTTTCTGAAACAACTATTTTATGGGGGTGCCTGGGTGGCTCAGTGGGTTAAAGCCTCTGCCTTCAGCTCAGGTCATGATCCCAGTGTTCTGGGATGGAGCCCTGCATCGGGCTCTCTGCTCAGCAGGGAGCCTGCTTCCTCCTCTCTCTCTGACTGTCTCTCTGCCTACTTGTGATCTCTGTCAATAAATAAATAAAATATTTTAAAAAAATGAAACAACTATTTTATGAATGAACCAACATTTTGTGCTACTGATAATGTTTCTTTCACTGCACATGGTCCAGATTCCCAAGAGAAATATCAAGAATTAAGGAGGGTTTTTCCCCAGATTATGAAGAAAATGGAACCAATTTATTGGGTGCTGGTGATCCATACTCAGATGACATTGTTAATGGGGTGGACCCAGAGATAGAAGAAATTTATTAAAAGTTTTGTTTGAAATCAGAGTGTAAGCAAAACGGTAAAGCTAAAGTGCAACATGAGAGTTTTATAAAGCAGTTTAGGTTATGTCAATTTATCAAAATATAAGAAAGCAAGAAAATGTGTCACACTTATACCAAATTAAGGATGTTGAGTTATGTTACTAACGTATGCAATTTTAATTCTATTTAATCCTATCTGAAATATAAACTTTATTCTCTATAACTTAAAATGTGCATGTACATATATAATGGTTTATTACATACAGTTAATTCTTCTTTTGGCTGTAATAAAATTGATTTAAAAATTTTATTATTTTTCTGTGTAGAAAGCATTTTTTAAATTTAAATTCAATTAGCCAACATAAAATACATCATTAGTTTCAGATATAGTGTTCAATGATTCATCAGTTGGGTATAACACCCATTGTGATTTTGAAATTTCTGAAGAGCACCTAGCAGCCTGGACACTGGAGTAAACTAACTAGAGTCTTACAACTGTTTTATTGCAAATGGTACAATGGCCTCCAACTATTTAAGTCTCAGTTTCTTTTTCTGTATTGGGGAAAAGATTAAAAATACAAACAATAACAAAAACTAATTATTAGATTTTTCTATTCATTAGACAAATAATAATTGAATGCTTACTTAGTGTCAGATATTCTTTAACTTACTGAGTAGGAAACAAGATGTTCACATTCCGTGGAAAGAATTGACGTGCTTAACACTGCACCAAGAATCTATTAACTCTGAAAGCGAGCTCATATAATAAATATTGTGATGATTCAAATCACTACTTCAGTGAATTGTTAACTAACATGAAATCCTTTGTCATCCAATGCATTGTGGTTTGATACAACAAGGTAGAAGTGGAAGTGATCAACACTTGATGACTGATGATAACCACATTTCTCATACTTCCCTATATAATATATATGACTTTGATGATAAATGAAATGTGGTCTGAGTTTGTACCTACTTGAGAATTGGCCATGATCTGGCAACCTACTGAAATATATTTAATCATTTTATTTATACAGTTTTGGAAGTAAGTATATTTTCTGAAAGTTTGCCTAATTTATGAAAGGTTTCAGAATCATAAAGTTTAATTAATTTTTTAATTGGGCTAACATAAAGTACAGTGTTTATGGAGCTCTTGATATTTACAACTCTACTGAATAATGCCCTTTTATAGTAAATAACAGTATATTTTATTCACCAAATCACTAAGAAGTTAGCTCCGTTTTATTTTTTTAAATTTTTTTTTAAGATTTTATTTATTTATTTGACAGACAGAGATCACAAGCAGGCAGAGAGGCAGGCAGAGAGAGAGGAAGGGAAGCAGGCTTCC